AGAGTTCCGGTCAAATGTGCCCAGTGGTTCATGTGATATTTTGCTAACAGACAAGCACTAGCAGTTATATAACATAACTTCCATGACCTGATTTTACTTATTTAACTGTGTGATTTTATTGTGTTTTTGTATTCAGTTTTTATTTTATGTGTTCAGCCTTTGTTTCAGCAGTGGCTGATGTTATAGCGCTTTATAAATAAAGTTTGATTGGTTGATTGATTGATTGATTGATTGATTACAGGTGAGTAAAAAGTTGTACTACTCCTCTAGCCTCTCTTGTCTCCCTAACATTATGTTGGTGTATAAAATAGAGGATGATAACACAAACATTAGAATTGGACCAATTAGCATTTTTTAATGATCTGCTTCTAACCATGCTAATTGCTGATTATTAATTGTTTTATTTACATATATTTTAAGCAATAATGCTGTTCTGTTTACGTATTTTATGTATCCAAGATCACCCAAGTGGTGCTAAATGAATTCATATTTATGTTAGGTTTTTTTTTTTAGTTAAATTTATACTGGCCGAAGAAAAACAACCATATAAATCTGTCATTGGCTGCTGATTTCTAAAGATCAGCATGTTTACAAGTTGAAACAAAGGAACRCAGCTGCCATTTGAAATTTATTATTGTTTCCTCCAACAGGATGATGAAGACGGTTCTTGGTTCAGGACTTAAAGGCTGGGTGCCAGGTAGTTTAGTGGTTCCCAAAGTTTGGATTGAGACCAAACTGGGACCAAGTAAAGAGCATTTAAAGGATCTCTATAAATCAAATTAAAAGGTAAAAAGATTGCCAATATTTTTGTCGTTATTGTTACATAAGATAAAGGCATAGTTTTTAAAATTAAAATAATATATCCTTATTTGTTTTTTTCTTGAATGTTTTTATGTTTCTTTTGTAGTTTGGGTCAAAGGAAACTTGTTTTTGGTGTCATGTTTTTGTCAACAACACACATCACAGTGATGAGATGAGAAAACATAAACTCGTGCAAAAAATGGATTTTGGTTATAAAATTCAGTTCTAAGTCAAGATAGTCACTTTATATATAAACTTCAGCCTTGAATTTGTGTTACTTAAAGGGTATAAAATGCTGACTCAGTGTTTCAGCTGCTGCTAATTAATTTAAAAGCCCAACTGTCCAAAAAAAAAAAGTGCAATAATTCTTGTTTATACAGACGCAGCCTCTTCTCCACAAGTTCCAGCTCTTATTTGGACTCTCCTTCAATCAAAGCCAAAGATGGAGCCTTTCAGGTCCAAGTGTTCTGAGCATGCTGATGAGAACAACCCATGAGAGATTATTTATTTATTTATTTTAGTTTTAATCTGTGACTTTTCAAGGGCAATCACTTTTCATTTCCCCGGGTCCTTACAAAAACACCACGTGACGCTCCATCAACAGCCCTGCCGTCCTCGCTCTGTTGGCAGAGTTGGCAGGAAATGATGCAAATAAGTCCATCCCCTCCAATTCTGCTCTTAACAATCACACAGTGGAGTGGAGTGGGTGTGTGTGTGTGTGGGGGGGGACCACAAGCTGGAGGACCTTGACTGTGGAAATTAAAAGTGCATGTCTGTCACATCTATCATCACAAATAAGATAACGAGACTCCAAAAGCTGCAGATTGTTGGTCTGTGCCCAAACAAAATCAGAGCTGTAGTAGAGGATCAGATGGAAGTCTGGTGTTAGTGCTACAGCAGAACATTTGTTTGCTTTTAACTCAACAATCAAAATGTCAATAATAAGCACAGCCTCTCATCATGATAATACCAAAGTTCCTGGAAGGAAACTTATCAATACTACACCATTAACTTCAATTTTTATTTCATAAAATTTATTCATTTAAAACAAAACAACATAAATTCAATATACAATAAAAATACAAACCATAAATTAAATGAAAGGTAGCAGAAGAAAAAAAAATTATGATCTCTGCCCCTTTTTCTCAAATAAATAAATTCAATCGAAACTAATCTTCAATTTACAAAAATGTACAAAAAACGAGAAAAACAACAAAGGTTTAATTCCTTCTTGAGCAACAATTCGTACATTATACCCATACATTTTTCTCCAACAAATTTACCTTTATCATTCTCAAATATACTCATTGATCTGGCATTTTTAACGTCATCTTCCAGATTATTCCATAATTTAATTCCCTRGACTGAAGCACTCTGTTCCTTCAAACTGGTTCTAACTTTAGGTCTCACAAACATCTCTATCCCTTTGACATTATAATAACTCTTTTAACAAAATGTAATTGGATGTTTGAAGGTAATGTGTTTTTATGAGCCTGATAGTATATTCTTACGGCTCTTTTCTGTAAAATAAAAACAGGATTTGTTATTGTTTTACATGCTTTTCCCCCAAACATCAACACAATAAATTAAGTGTGGAACAATTATTGCGTTATACAACAAACAGAGCTTTATCATTAAATAAGTCCTTTACTTTGTATAATACTGCAATGGATTTGGCTATTTTTGTTCTTAAATGATTTATGAGGTCTCCGTGTCAGTTTTTCATCAATGATGACAGCCAGAAACTTCACCTCACTGACTCTACAGATCTCTATACCATCAACTCTAAAGGGAACATTGACAGTTTTTTTTCTATTACTAAATATCATGACTAAGTTTCATAAACTATTAGGGGTGTAAGAAAATATCGATACACTGAAATATCGCGATATTTCATTTCCCGATACTGTATCGATATTCTAAAGCCCTGTATCGATTTTTTTTATTAAGGTTTAAAATGTCAACTTTCCTGCCAGCCGTTCATTTTTATGTTGTAGTTCAGCCTCTGACCACTAGTTGGCAGCAGTGAGCCAGACATTTGGCTCCTCTACCTCTTGAGGTAGAGGCTGTTGTTAAGTGTTGGGTGACCATATTGTAAATTAATATTAAAAACTAAAAGCTGCAAAAAATATATTTTCAAACTATTTATTGTCAAATTTAGTCTAATAATTGAAAACATGGATGAAATAAGAAATATGCAACAAATAAAATAAAACACATACAAAGCAGAACACAGCTAAATGTATCAAAAGTATGTCTATGTTATATTAGAATTTTCTGAGACAATGAATTTTGGTTTTTCATTTTTTTTCCCAGTAAGAGGTTTTTATTTAATAGAATTTTTGGACAAAAAAATTGCAATATATCGCCTTGCTTATAGTATCGCAATATATCAGGATATATCGTATCGTGACCCCTCTGTCATGATATGTATCGTATCGCCAAATTCTTGCCAATACACAACCCTATAAACTATTGGCTGCTTCTCAGCCACATCCAGTGCTTCTTGGTGTACAAATGTTCCATAGTCCTGAAAAAGCATAATTTATATAACCAAAACTTTGGACATTCATCTCTTACGATCACAGTTGTGTTTTTATCTAGCCTATAAGTTTTAGTTTTTCTGACTTCATCTATTTTACATCTGATATGAAGTGGCTGCAGAGTCTAAAGCAAAGAAACTTTCATCAGTTTGTTCATTCAGAGCAACACAAACACAACAGATCACTGAATCTCTTACAAAGAATCAACATCAAAACTCATACCATATATTAAGATATAAGATCAATGAAGTGTCTGCCTTTTTAACTTTTTGTGGTTGTTTTTAGTGTAATTTTGTTTTTGCTACAATCATGTGATTGGGCTTTTCTGGGTATTAATCACCAAAAACATTTGGTGAAATGTTCAAACTTTGAGAACCCAAAGTTTTGGTCCGTTAGATGAGACGGCTCGGCTGTAAATAAACACAACACCAGTTTTACTCTGGCTTGGCGGAGCCATTATCCGCAAACTAAAATCAGATTGGATYGTGGTGAAACTCTCCACTCTGGCCTTGTTTTTTAACTTCTCCCCTTTCGCCACCTGTCCAGTCTTCATTCAGTCCACTCGGTTGGAAATTAATGGACCTCTGGTGATTTATGGCCCACATTTCTCGTAGTGTGAGCACGTATAGAAGAAAAGTGGAAACACTTGTCTGGAGGAGGTCTGGTATAAACAACCTGTAGGTGTACAAAGGTGGAGTTCAGGATGGATTTACTCACATAGTTCCAATAAACCCAGAACAACTCTGACAAGGTTGTAAATCCTCTCCAGACAGCGCGCGTCACTCACTAAATTCCTTTGAATAAAAGTAGTAAAGGAGTCATTTCTGAGGCAAAGCAGTTCAGGCTGATGACCTTGAAACGTACAAATGAAATAGTTAAAGAAAGATCAACGCTTTTTACCCTCAGACACCATGTTGGTTTCAGCCTGAGACCAAGAACATGTTGCAGAAACTGTGACAGAAATATTTACATCTAACTGGAGCTTCTGTTCATTTAGAAAACTTTTCTTTGGTGAGTTTGACGCAGCCTTTTTCCATCAGAGGCGTAGAAATTGAAAACAAAAAGGTTGGATTGCTGTAGCCTTGAGTTGCAAAACATGAATAAGAGCTGAAAACTAAACAAGATTTTATTTTCTTTGTGGTTTACAATTTAACTAGTTTTTAAACCAGTATAATGACCAAGAGTATGACCGATGTGTTGCATGTTGAGAAGTATTTATTGATCTTTGAAAAGGCTGAATGAATGAATGAAAACCGTGATGATCAAACACTTAGTTTGAAGCGATATTGCGAAGATTGTCTCTTTAATATCGCTGAATACTTTTATTTTGAGATGGATTTGTTAGACATTTAAATTGATATGAAACAATATGTCAATGAGCTGTAAGTAGACCAACCAATATAAAGGTTATACCATATAAATAAAGAAAAACACTTGTCTGTAAGTTTCTTGACAAAACTGATGAAAATAATCTGTTTTTGTTTGAAGGGTTCTTTTCAAGTCGTTGTCCAAAAGCAGCTGAAAATCTGAAAAACGCTCAGTTTTGGCCTCCATCTGCAGCTGCACTTGAAGCTAATAGTTTATTTAACCACCTGGCAGCTGAGAATAATGAATTGTACCTTTTTTTAAACTTTTTATTTCTTATTTTTATTGCAGTTTAGACAAACTTTTGGATTCTGGCTTGTTTACCGGAGAGATAACGGAGCTGTCAGGAGGCCCGGGAAGCGGCAAATCTCAGGTGAACTTTTCTTCCCCTCAGAATCTCTGATAAATTCAACCCCGTAAATTTACCTACTCTTCGTTTGGATTTGCCCTCCTCCTCTTTGTCGGGCGCATAAAATTAGATTCCGTCCTGACTAATCCCCCCCTCCGTATGCTTCTCCTGACTCGTAGGTGTGCTTCGGCGTCGCCGTGCACATTTCTCACCACCTGAAACAGAGCGTGATATACATCGATACAAATGGAGGGCTGACTGCCAAGCGCCTGCTGCAGATGCTGCAGTCTGAAACCACAAACACAGATGAGCAGGTGAGCTGACACGCAAAGAAAACAACAACAAACTATTATAAAAATCTGTTGACAGCAGGAACTTCTGCTTTCCAGATGGAAGCTCTTCAGAGGATTCAAATCTTTCGTTTGTTCGACGTCTACGCTCTGCTCGACTGTCTGTACGGGCTTTGCGGTGGCGGGCTTCAGCAGGTTTGTTCCAGCTGCACCAGTTTGAGGCTTAAAGTTTTCGGCGAGCTAACGTCGTCACATTCTGTGTCAGGCGTCTGTCGGCGGGGGCTCTGTGAAGGCGGTGATCGTGGACTCKGTGTCGGCAGTCATTTCCCCTCTGCTGGGAGGCAAACAGAACGAAGGTGATGTCTCTGTGTTTACGTCTAAGCTGTGGATTATAGAACCTCAGCACTGGTTCTTATGCAATCTGTTATCAGTCAGTTTTAGCTCAACATTCATAAAACTGACTGAGTTGTGTCACTAATGCCTCACTTTTGGCCTCCATCTTGAGTCRTAGACATGCACATTTTGGTAACGGAAATAAGGGATCCTCGCCCACCTACCACTTGCAGTGACATGCAATACTAACTCAATCCCTGGAATATTAATCTGTAAATGATGGAGTGTGTCAGTTTAGTTGCAGCAGTCAGATTTCAAAGAGTAACTTTTTGGATGCAGGACATATTGTAACCCGGCCTCTCCGCCTCTTCCTGCGCCTCCAGGCATGTCCTTGATGATCCAAGTGGCAGGAGTTCTGAAGAGCATGGCGAAGGACTTCAGCGTCGCTGCTCTGGTAAGAACCGGTCCTTGATGTGCGCTGCTCTGAATGCGAGCTGCATTTCCAGTCAGAGCGATGACTCTGTGCTTCCAGACCCGATGTGAACGTCTTACATCTTCCTGTCTCTGTTTGGGTGCAGCAACAAACTCATAAAGACCGAACCAGATTTAAGAAGTGCGCAGTGAAGATGATTTCGATTAGATCAAGGTGCTTTTGTTCCTAAGCCATAAAACAGGAAGTAATCTGGTGGTGTGTGGGGCCCGCAGGTGACAAACCACGTAACGAGAAGTGGCAGCGGAGACGTGCAGCCGGGCCTCGGCGCCTCGTGGAGCCACGTCCCCAGAACCAGAATCCTGCTGGAGAGAGTCGAGACRCCTCTGTCTGCCGGCCGCTCCGGTCTCCGCTCCGCAACGCTGATCAAGTCCTCCAGACAGGTACTGCACAGCTGCYGCTGCCGAGTGCGTCGGGCTGTTTTTAGACGGCGAACTTGTTTGCCCACAGGTCTGGTTTGATTAAAAACTCCAAAATTCCATTTAAAAACATCTCCCGGCAAAGATCTTTTATTTTTTTAGAGAGGAGAACAGCCGCCATGTAATTCTTATAATTCATAAAGACAGACTGTAAATAATGAGTCACGCTGCTCATTAGGATGCAGAACACTTCTTCAGCTGCTAACCCGAAATGTAAGAGCCGCCATGCTGACTCCTCCAATTAGAGGTGAGGATCGTAAAAACCTTTAATTTCTGTGAAAAGTTTACATTTTCAAACAGYTTGTCTCCGGCTGCTCAGCAGACGAATGTTTGTTTTTTGCTATATGATAATAGACTTTGTTATTTGCATAAAAAAACTGCAGTCAGACGCCGCCACCGGCTCTACATATCAATGCTGTTTCAACAGACTAAACTAATTAGCTTTAAGTAAAGGCYTAACGTTGCTTGAATGCTTATCACYGACTTCTGTTAGGAAATAACTTGTTCAGAGTTGTAAATGGAGATGTTAAAGTTGAACTAATTGTTATTTTTTTGTGTTGCCTGTCAAGTTTTGTGAATGACTCATCAAATTTTAGATTAATATCTTTAAAATTGGGTCATTTTTTCTTGGAAGGTTTCAATAAAATTCACCCAGTGGTTCATTAATTAACATAGACACAAAAAAAACTCTGTTCCTCCTCTGCAGGGGAGGTGATTCAGTGTCTCAGTCCTTAAAATTGAGTTAATCACTGCAGTCGTGTTTTAACTTCAATCGATGCCGTYGTCTGCTCTCCTTCGTAGCCACTTCACGTCAAACAGGAGTTCGATCTGGGGTGGTGGAGTCGCGCTGGAGGAGGACCCTCAGGAAAGAGGAAACTGGATCAGACCGAGCCCTGACAGAAACTCTGATCCAGCTTGTGAACGTCAGAGTGAAGGTGAGTTCACGAGTTCAAAATGAAAGTTAAACTCAATGGCTGCAAAATATTTGAGGTTTTAAAGATTCCTGTTGGACAAAAACCACAGAGTAACCATTACCTTTCTGCTGCATGTGGTTGCAGACGTATTTATTGGATGTTTTGCTCCTGTAGTTAAAAAGTAGTGCTCATTAAAAAGCGTAAACTCATGTTTAGTTTTAAGAAAGGATTCCACTGTTTTACCCAAAAAAGCATAAATAAAAACAACCTGAGACCAGTGTTGGCTGATAAGACGGGTGTTCTGTATGTTTGAAGATGAGTTTTCAGTTCATTTATTTGTCTCGTCAACAGGGAGGCACCACGCGTCTCTTTCGAATGCACTCCCAGATCCAGCTGGACGAGACCTTCTGGGCCCTGCTGTCCTCCGCGGGTTCGGCCAGGGTGTGCGTGGCTGAGGCGGCGTCGTAGTCCGGCACCAGGTCTCCGTCGTAAGCCACGAAGTACCGCCTCAGCCGGTGGAAGTCCTGCGCCGAGACGGGCAGGAAGAGCTTCACCCCGCTGAAGATGTCCAGCAGCGTCTGTGAGCGACAGTAAAGGTCAGGGAGCTCCTCCCMCTTTTTATAAATGAAGCCTTTACTTTTAAATGGTTAGCAATAATGTCCTCAAATGAAAACTTGTTTATGAGCCGCTAGCAACAATGTTACCAATACAAAAAACACTAGTATTTAGTCTTAGAGTTTCAGGGTTTTTACGGTTGTTTTTTTTTTTTTTTATAGAATCCATGTTGTGTTTTCTAATAAAGTTATTAAAAGTGCTGATATAAACACAGACCTTGTCATTCCTCGGTTCCATCAGTTGAGACGTTGCCTTTGGTTTGTTTTCTCCGTTGCTGTGAGCACTGGGTTCGCTCTTCTTCACCTGGTGGTAAACAAACAGGTCAGTTCTCCTATGAAACGCAGAACGGCTGGATTAATCTGAGCCTCTCTACCTTCTTGGCGCTGGGCGCCTCGGAGCTGGGAGTGCGAGACTCTGATTTCGCCGCCTTTGGTCTGGCCGGCGTGGTGTTACCTGAGAAATAAAGTAACAAATCCTGATTCATAGTCCAGGCCTCAGAGCTGCAGCTGGAATAAATAATCTGTTAGCTTACAGCTTTGGCTAATTCTGAACATCTTAAAAAGAGACAGGGGATGTCACGGGGTCTCGCCAAGGGCTGGGTTAAAAAAGTTTATTTAATCGATCTGGATCGATGTTCATTCAAATTTGGGAAAATCGATTCATAAGTCATGAGATCAATTTTTCCCCATGGGTGTTGTGTGTGAGATGAAGCTGCGCGTTTCCATGTTGTGTGTCACTCCTGGCTTGCCGTAGGTTTATGTTAGGTTGACGGTCAGTGCTAACATTAGCTCCATACAGCGAGTTGTCCGGGGCAAAACAAAGGAATCACAGATTCTCAGTAGAACTTAAAGATAACAGAGGCCATGACATCTTTTGTTTGCAAAGATTTGCGCTCAGACACAGTAGCGGGAAACAAAGCTTCGAGTAGCTTGAACCAAAACTACAGTATGAAAACATCTGACTGAATCTGTTCTCCTCGGCATTTATAAACACGTGAAAGATGACAGTCTAACAAAATTGTTTAGTTTTTTTACCAATATTATTTATAAATTTAGGAAACATCTTAATGTAATTCACTATGATGTAACATTTTAGCTGAAGTTCTCTTTTTTTCTTTCTTGTTAATACATTTTATTGAACAGAAGCTAACAAATATACAATTTTCATACACTCAAAAGAGTGGGCAGAAGTATATTTATATTAACCTGCCTCTTCTCCTGTAGCCTTATTCCATCACTTCTTAATGATCAAGAAACTTATTCTTAATTTCTTTAAAAACTAATATATCCAACAACACTTTCTCTGTCAATGCCTTTTTAGTTTAAACCTTTGAAACTTGAGAATGTTATATTCCAAGATTAAACTTCAATTTACAAGTTTGTCCTTAATGTTTATCATTTTACCAATGCACCAAGTTAGAATTAGTTTCTACTATTTGCAGAATTAGTTCCTCTGARAATGTTTTCTATATCAAAGTAAATGTGTTACTGCATGATATCCTTAACTAATTTAAAAATCAATTAAACTGAATCGTGAATCGAATCGGGCCCATGTGAATTGAATTGAATCGATTTGGGAAATYTGAATCGCTACCCAGCCCTAGTCTCACCATGAATGGCTCAAGGACTTACTTGTTTTCTTAGCTGGAGGCTTCCTTTTGGGCGACGGCGAGCTTCCCCCGCTGTCGCCGCCGGATGACCCTTTGTCATCGTTGGACCCCGACGGACCGGCGGTCACTTTAAAGTCGCAGTGCTCCTTGGATATTCTGAACAGCTCCTGGACAGACAGATGGAGCCATCAGCCGACAGACGTAATGTTCTCTGTCAGGCAGGTTAAAGACTTCTGTCTGGTGCTAAGAATTTAGTGCCGAGGCAGTGAAACATATTTCATCTTGTTTGGATAACTCTGGCTGTAAATGTGCTCCTCTTCCTCAGCGTTTAAATCCCAGGAGGGTTTTATTTAAAGCAGTGAGTTTAATTATTTCATCCCTGCCTTCACCTGTGTTACCCTCTCTTATATATTACAATAGAAAGTAATTAGCACCAGCCAATCCCAGAGGATACACCTCCCTCTCAATCAAGTAAACACTTTCTGATGCCTCTTTTATGATTGTTATCTCATTAAAACTTCATTGTGAGAGGCACTTCTTAATTATTCCCCACAGCCCCTTCAGTTTGCTGCGTTTAAGAAGCCGTTTACTGCAAACAAATATTAAAAAAAATTAAATAAATAAACTGCCGAAGTTCTCTACCTTGAGCTGGTGCAGGTTGGTGGCGGTCTTCCAGTCCTTGTCGTCGCGGATTCGCGTCATGCGGGGGAAACGGATGGAGATGCCGTCGGCGGTGTGCATCTCGGATTTGGAGAACTCGGCGCCGGTGATCTCCCAGACCGGCGCTTGCTGCAGGAAAGAGGAACGGGAGGTGAAGCAGGACCGCTTACATGCCGTTTAGTTTCTGCACGTTTCAGTAAACACGCAGGTTGAAAACAGCTTTCAGCTCTGCAGATTACATCAATGTTAGACTGTTTTTACATTAATTAAGAGACTTCTGCAGGCATGCAGAGATGTTTGTAATGATCWGATTCTAATAGGCTGCAGTGCTCAGATGCAGACGTGGATAAACTGGTTTGAAACCTTTTTGTTGGAGAAAGAAAGAAAACTTAAAATCTCACCTCTGGATCTCGGATAATAAAGTCAGGATAATAGTTCTTGATGATTTTCAACCAGCTGGGGATTTTGCTGGGTTCCTACACAAAGACATTATTAAAAGAAGAGCGTTCAGTGTTTCAGGCGGGCCTCTGGGACCGGTTCATCCCTGACCTTGCTGATTTTGATCACGTCCAGCTCCTTCTGGAGCCGGGCCAGCATGGCGTCATCGTAGCCTCCGGAGCACTTGGTGACTGTGCACCACTTCTTGGCGTCGGGGTCGTAGCAGCCCATGAGGAAACTGGACATGATGCCCCCTGGTGGACAGAAATAAAACAACCCTTGATTGATTCTTTCTGCTTTATCACCTTGTCTTTTAATCACACGAGCTGCTTTATTATCTCTCCTCTGAGAACCGAGCCTGTTTATTACGTTTCTGTTATATTTTACGCTCATTACCCCGCCTCCTAAACAACCCCCCGTGTTTTGTCTGCCTCCGCGATTTGCCCACAGGCTTCTTCTCATGCAATATGTTCTATCTGCATATTTTTCACATGACAGGCTCCAACCTCCTGATTTGTATTCCCTAAGTAACTGTGCGCTGCAGTGTGAGTGCCACATCTCCCGATATAATTTAGTTTTACATCTTSTTTTTAAATCCACAGAAACTGACGTCTTAGGATGTTAACCATAAAGGAAAGTAGATGTTAAAGCAGGAAAACAAGCATCAAAAAGCTGTTTTCATTTTACCTAAAATGTTTTGTATGCTGTTAAATTTAGTCCTGCGTGAGCAATCATATCCGAGCTTTATCAAATTAAAAACTGATGAATGCAGCTCTGCTGAAAGACTCCAGCTGATGTTGGTAATTAAACAAACCGTTTGAGCCTTTCCCGTAAAACGCTCCCAGCACCACCAGGTCCGCTGTGTCGGCCATCGCTCCTTCGTTTAAATAATCCTTCTTAACTTTCAGCCAGTGGCGTTTCCCCGGCTCATAGTTGCCCTGCAACAAACACACACACACACACACACACACACACACACACACACA